TTATAGTGTAAAAAAAATATTTTGTTAAACAAGTAAACAATTTTATTTACATAGACAGCCTTAAAAATGGGATGCATAAAATGCTGATTGACCTGAAAGACGACTTTTATTGTTGTGCAAATGAACGGCGTGCATCTTGTCAAAAGTTCGCGTTACTCGTTTTTTGAATCATTTAAGTCGTTAATAACAAAATTACAGGGCCTTCTACATCTGTGTGCCTTATCTTTAATTTTTTCGTGACAATAACACATTCCTGAATTATTCTGTACGCGTCGGGGTGTGTTAGATCGGTTTCTACCTTGATATCGAGTTCTGGATTTAGTACGAGATAATCTATCAATTTTTATTGTGAGTTCTTCTGTATTACTGCTTAATGCTGCCATAATGGGGTCAGGATATTTTGAAACAGCGTGGATCTCAAATTGCTGTGGATTCGAAAAAGCAATTATTTGATCTGCCTGTCTTGCTAAAGCGTCTAATGGTTCGTTAGAAATCGCGAGTGTACCCAGCACAAAATTAGGCAATTGATTGAGAAACAACTTTTTTTAAAAATCGTTCAATAGCACACCGTCTGCTAATTCTCGCATACGTCGGAGCAAAGTTGTCGGTTGTTGATTATCTAACTTCAGTTGTGATTGTTAAATTAAAAACGTAACAGAAATGCATTGTGGTCTAGATTATAGATTTCTTATTTATTTATTTAATAGAAAGGAGAAAAGATGCCGTTACCGGCATAGCAAAATGTAAACAGACTAGCAACTCACTGTTGCCAACAGCAGAATGGCAGATAAAAAGCAATGTTGCCATTACGAAGAAATGTGTTTCGAAAAATAATTGACATTGTTAAAGGCATGTATTTTAGCACTCCTGCTTGCTGTCTTCTACTGAGCAAAATTTTTAGTCTGTAATGCTCGTTCTTCCTTAACAATAACTGTATTTTCATTCCTAGCAATCCTTTTTTCTTCTACTAATAGTTTTGATTTCACCATGGTGGTTGTGAAAAGTGATTCGTTCTTTTCAAGATTCAAAATCAATGACTCATAAGATCTGGGTAGACCCATCAACATTACTAATGCAACTTCATGGTCTGTAAACGAGTAACCACCATTTGACAGCTTTCGATGCAAGTCCATTAGTTTTCATAAGTATGACTGCACAGTATCCTTGTGATTTATCGATGCGTTAAAGAACTCCCACATTAATTGCAAAATTTCGAGCAATCCAAACTTGATATGCAATTCTTTCAATAGATTCCATGCATCTCTAGCTCTTATACAGTCACCGATATCGTCTAAAAAAGTATCCTCTACGATCAGGAACATCAATGTTAACGCTTCGTCATTTTTTCCGTTCAATTTCAGACATATTTGTTTCAATGCCTGGTTCTACTGCATCCCAACATCGCCTTTGAATAAGCATGGCACGTGCTCGTATGGACCACGCATGGTAGTTTCCTCCATTCAGCTTCGGTATTTTGTAGTCGTCAGTCATGATTGAGTAATATTAATAAAAAATATTAATATCCCTCGGAGTATTTTACCTCCTTCAGTTGTCAGTTGAACAAAATATTTTAACTTCTTCAAATATGAGTCACTGGCATTGTTAACTTCGGCATTGCTTACATCGACAAAGGAATATAAATCTTCATCGATCTTAACTCAACAAAACATTTCCTTTAGAACTTCTTGCTGATAACGTGTTGAATTAAAAACATAACAGAAATGTATTGTGGTCTAGATTGTGTATTTATTTATTTAAAGAACGGAGAAAAGATGCCGTTACCGTACCGGCATAGCAAAATATAAACAACAAACTAGCAACTGTTGCCAAAAGCAGAACAGCGCAGGTAAAAAGCAAAATGTAAGCTTTTTTCATTCCGTTAATACTCTTCACATAAAGAGGACCCGCATAGTCGATTCCTATTACTTCGAATGGATGAGCCTGTTTAATGTTGTCTGGAGGAGGAGCTTCGTCTTGGGTAAAGGGCTTAGCTCGAAATTTCTTGCAAAGATTGCAGTTGAAAATAATACTCTTAATTCTTTGCTTTCCTTTAATAATCCAATAGGTTTCTCGAACGTCTGTTAATGTATCAGCAACTCCTGCATATCGTAATCTTTCGTTTCGTGACTTCTGCGAATTACAAGATTCGTAAAGTGACTTCTACTAGGCAGTAGTAGCATCGGAGATACTTCGTTGTGACTAATTTCAGCATATCGAAGTCTGCTCTGCAAGCGAATACAGCTTTGAATCAAAATCGTTGTTACCATCAGTAGCTACTGAAAAGGGCTGTCTTTGTAAAATTATCTTTAATTTTTCAGTAACTTGGGTAGCAAACTCTCCCACAATGTTTGTAGATTTCGTTCTACCACATTTATAGCTGTTTGCTAGTTCGTTTTACCGAAAAATCTTTTTTAACAAAGGTCTGATATGATCTGCTCAGCTTAAGGGCAGATTGTGCTCTAAAAAGGATGTAAATAAACATTCTGCCCGTATTATTCTTAAATCATCCGATTTTTTGAAGAAGGTATTTATTTGTGATCACTCTAATCGATAGCTCAAAATGTATTTTTGGTAAATAACAACACTGGTTTGCACTGGACTGTAGAACACTTTATTTTTAAAGACTCACGGACTACGTCCGCCATTCATGGAGTTCTCAAGGTGTAAAAAATTCTCTCTCAAAGGGGTGGCGCGGCAGTCGCACATGCGCGAACATGCCGCCCGGCATTGCAATGTTTCAGCATTCAATTAATATGTAATTTAACAAAGCACATTTTGCATTATTTAAAAAAATCTTTACAAAGCATTTAGATGATAATTAGTAACACTGATACAAATAAGAAAAAACAAATTAATGATACTTTACACTGCAACCGATTTTCTCATACAACAAATATTAAATTCAAAATAAAATTAAACATGAGAATATTTTTATGATACAGGTAACAAGCATATTTTAGAAATAGACCTCTTAAGGGTCCCGTGATGGGTTTTCACTTCTACAACTCTGATTTTCTTATCAGTGCCATAAAACACTTTAATTATTCTCCCCATTAACCATTTATTAGCTGGTAAATTATCCTCAATAATTAAGACTAGACTACCGATTTTGACATTGTCCTTTTCGAATCTCCACTTGCCACGCTGCTGCAGTTCACCTAGGTAGCTTCGTTGCCACTTTCTCCAAATTAATTGTACTAATTTGGTTATTCTTTGCCACCTGGATAACCTATTTTCCTTTAAATTTGTCAACTCCGGTTCAATTATGGCGTTCACTGTTCTCCCTATCAGGAAATGCGCAGGAGTTAAAGCTTCTAAGTCGGTTTCATCCGCGGATAGTGGAGTTATCGGTCTACTATTCAAAATGCTTTCAATTTGAGTGGCTATAGTATGCAATTCTTCGTAAGTTAAAGAGGCATTACCTACAGCTCTTTTAAAATGGTATTTAAACGACTTAATTGCTGCCTCCCAGAGACCACCAAAGTTGGGGGCTCTAGGCGGGATAAAACTCCACTCTATGCCTTCAGCGGATCGATAGTTAGCCAATTTTTCATTAGGAACTCCTTGTTAGCGCCAACGAAATTCGTCGCGTTGTCTGAAAACAGTTTGGCACATTTGCCTCTACGCACGATGAATCTCTTCAACGTGGCAATTAGAGACTCGGATGTCAAATCAGAAACTATCTCTATATGCACTGCTTTAGATACAAAACATATGAATAATCAAATATACACCTTTAGAGAAATTGCTTTTCTTTGATGTTTACATTTAATGAAAAACGGACCAGTAAGGTCAACACCAGAGCAATTAAATGCGAAATCTGGCACAACTCTTTCTCTAGGTAGATTTCCCATTATTTGCGACGCAGCAATGGGTTTGTTTTTAACACGAACACAATTATGAGTAATTCTTCTACATAGAGAACGGCCACACAAGGGCCAAAATTTTTCTCTTTCACAGTTTAATAAACCATTTGGACCAATATGCAAATATTTAAGATGATATGTCGAAATAATAACAGAAGTTAAAGGACTATTTTTAGGGAGTATTGCAGGATGTTTTCTAAGAAAATTCAATTCAGTGTTACCTAATCGTCCTCCAACTCTTAAAACTCCATTTGAATCTAAAAGAGGATTCAAATTTCTTATCTTACTCGTAGGAGACACCTTCCCGTGCAGTTTGAGACTCCGAATTTCTGATCCAAATTCCTCGTTCTGTATTACTCTCAACAGGAACCGCTCGGAGGCGTTGGTCTCCTCATTCCTCAGAGGTCCTGAAGCTCCTTCAGTAGGATTTCTGCAATTCTTAGAAAATCTAAAAATATAACTTAATACACGCACTATAGTAAAATAATTATTACTCAATATAATTAGTTCATGCACAAAATTGTTGGATGTTAATGTAAAGGCTTTTAAGGGATCTTCAATGTCTAAGCTTGAAGGCTTTTTAAGTTCACTATGGAAGACACTCAGTTCTTGCGACACAGGAAAGTTTTGGTTAGGATACTCATTGTCATAAAGGAAATTAGGGCCTTTCCACCATAAATTTGACTCTAAAAGTTTCACAGGGTCCGATCCTCGAGATATCAAGTCCGCGGGATTCATCTCGGATGGCACATGATGGGACTTTAGTGTCAGTTCTTGTATGAGTGCAATTCTATTTTTCACGAATGTCTTAAGACTCGTTGGCTCCTTTTGAATTCATGCTAGTACAATCATGGAATCAGACCAAAGGTAAACTTTGTTTGCAATTTTAATGCGGAAAGTATCTTTTTCATTAACTTGGACAACAAGACTGCAGCACAAAGTTCCAGTCTGGGGATACTTAGGGGTTTAAGTGGGGCAACTCTAAATTTGCTAGCAACTAATTTCACATTTATGTCACCTGCAGAGTTGAGAGACTTACAATAAACGACCGCTCCATAACAACTCTCCGATGAATCAGCAAATCCATGAAATTCGATTGTTTTAGACTGTTCTATTGTAATGCACCTATCAACTTTAATGTTGTTCACACCTTTTAACGTGGAAATAAATTTCGCTCCACTCCTGAGATTCTGCAGCAGGAAGTGGATCACCCCAGTCAATTTTCAATTTCCACAATTTCTGCATAAATATTTTGGCCTTAGCTATGACAGGGCCGGCTATCCCTAGGGGGTCAAAAAGTTTTGCAACGGTGGACAGAACTGACCGCTTGGTAAAAGTGTTGTTCTCATCCACTGATATTTTGAAGGTATAGCAGTCCTCTGATGGTCGCCAAATGACTCCTAAAGTTTTTGTTTCATCGGCGCTCGAAAAGTCATAATCGTTTTTACTTGGTGAAAGTTCCGGATGGCTAGCAGACCATTTATGTAGACTCATACCGGCTTTATCGAGAATTGAAATCAGTTGCCGCCGTGTTTCCTTCGCTTCATCCAGAGAGGGTGCTGAATACAACACATCATCCATATAGAAGTTGTCACGTAGAAGAGGAGCTGCCAAAGGAAAATTTATCCCCTCGTCAAGAGATAGCTGATTCAAACACCTTGTTGCTAAAAAACTAGCACTCACGGTGCCGTACGTGATAGTTCTCAATTCATAAGCTTTTGTTGGGCCATTCGCATGATCCTTCCAAAGGATTCTTTGAAGACAATGCTGCTTAGGGTTCACCAAAATCATTCTGTACATCATCTTTATATCCGCTTGAAACGCGTATGTGTGCCTTCGAAAGCTAATCATTATGCTAAATAAGTCTTCCTGTATCACCCCACCATTATATTGGATAGCGTTAAATGAGGTAGTATTATGCGTCAAGCTAGAAGCGTTGAATACTACGCGAAGCTTCGTAGTATTCTTCTCAGGACGATACACGAGAGAATTCAGCCGTTTAAGAGCAATATCCCTTGACTCGCCTAAACACGAGGGTTCTTCCTTAAGGGGTATAGTTACTACGTCTCTACCTCCTTTATTACGGAAATGTGTTTGCTCAAAATGTTCCTCGCAAAAGGTCGTTTCTTTACTTTTCGTTAACCCTACGTCTAAATTTTCAACTTCCCAAAAACTCTTTAATGTTTTGTTTAAATTATTGTATTTTTTCAACTACTAAAATGTTTTGTTTAAATCATCCTCTAAAATTAATCCGCAATGCACATTGGTTGTATGCGAATCAATTAAACTACCGCTCGCTACGTATCCGAAAACGGTATTTTGTAGAATTAACTGTGATTCGTGTAAATATATTTGTTCCGAGCGTAATAATTCATAGAATATCTCCGCGCCTAACAACAATACGTCAATTTTATCAGGAATGAAAAAGGTTTCGTCCGCTAATCTAACATTAACAGGAACATTAACTGCTGCATTAAGAAATTTCGACGGCGTAAAATCAATTATTTTTTCAACTACTAAAAAGGTTAATTCCTTTTCAAAACTCTTATCCTTATTTGAAATCGAAGTCCTAACACACCTATTTATATTCATGGATGAATCATTCAAACAAGAAATTTGTTTGTTCATTTTTTCGTAAGGCAAATTAAGATTTTGTAAACAATTGCGATTAATCAAACATGATTGGGAGCCTGAATCTAGCAAGCACCTAACTTCCTGCCATAAGGAATTTTTATTCTTAATAAAACACTTAGTCGTACTCAAAAGAACAGTTTTTGTGTTTAATTTATTTTTTTCATAACTGGTGGCGACTACAGACATATTTCCATCGGCGCCGTCTTGGGAGGAAGTGGAAGGGGGGATGGAATATTCAAAACTCAGCTGTGACTCTTGGTTAACAGGAGCAATAGCGGGTGAGTTATTATTTCTGTTTTCTTTTGGAAAGTGGATCATTTTATTATGGGGTTTACCGCAAAATCAATCCTTAAATTTACACGTTTGAAAGGAACATTTGGCGGATAAGCATTTAAAACATAATTTATTACTCTTGACTACTTCTAATCTTTCATTAATGGACATATTTTTAAATTTGGAACACATATACAAGGCATGCTCATTAGATTTACAAATGACACATTTAGGATATTTTATTTCGGATAAAAACACATTGGAAATATTTTTATTAGAACGGAAGTCTCGATTCCTTTGGGAATGATAATTTATATCTTGTTTTGATTTAACCTTGGAAGAAAGATAAATATCGCACTCTCTTCCTAGCTCTTGTGGTTTGAAAAATGATTCTCCCTGCCTTACTGCAATATGAGTCGTCAATTCCCGGTCAAGTAGACCAAACATCTTATCCGAAATAAGAGCCGCTCAGAAGCCAATACGGTTAAGTCCATTTTTTGATATTTTCTGATTTTTGGAAATTTTGATTAAATAAATAATAATCTTCTTAGTTATTAAAGGATTTACTCGTTGGTTACTTTTTTCTAGGTTAGACAGCCCTTTTTTTAATAGCTTCTGAATATATTGTATAATAATTTCAGAAGCCATTGTGAATAAGTCCACCTCTTATCAATATTTTTTTACATAAACTTTGAAATAAAAATTAAATTCTTCTTCTTCTTTCGATATTTGTTGGTAACACTGAGAAACAAGAAATTCATAGTAACTCAGGGTTTCCAGACGTAGTATTTTTAATACTACGGTAGTATTTTTTCACCAAAAACATCATGTGTTTATTAAAGTATATACCTCCAATTAAACACGACTTTTACGGGACATTAAGGACAACGCGTGGAGATCAAGATTTACATTTAAATAACTCGGAAGAAGATGATGTTTGTTATGATGAATAAACATAAAACTTACGACAATAAATGTTGTTTTATTATTTTTACATAAATTTCTTATCTTTTTCAGCTGCCAAAAGATATAAGTCCTAAAATTTCTAAGATTCTGTCATTATTTCAATTAATACTTACGTTTTTATTTACACATCCTGTACATATCTTGTTTTTTTGCAGAGTTTACACCTCGAAAAAAGACTTTATACGCTTTTCTAATTAAATTAATAAACTAAGAATTTTAAAAACTAATGTATCAAAAAACATTAATTTTCTCAATTTTTGTGTTTTGGACTTAACCGCATTGGCTTCTGAGCGACTCGATTAACTCGCATAATGTTTTAAAATCGCTAACCTTGCGTAATTGGCGATAGTATTCGAATGCTGCACTCAATCGTGAAGTAAACTGAAGATAACTTGAGGCATTTTTTGCATTTTATTAAAATTGTTAATACAGTCTCGAGGTGTTGGTTGAAATTCCTTCAACACGATTTCTTTAAGTTTATCGTAATCTGCTAATTCTTGTTCACTTATATAAATCATTAAATTTTTCGCTTTTTCACCTAACAAATTTAGCAGTATTTCGGATTCTAATTCTTCGGGCACATTTTTCGTTTTAAACGCTTTCTCGAGGGATTGGAAAAACAAATTAAATGCTTCAGGTTTAGAGGGAACGGATATGGTAAGGGTTTTTATACTTTTTATTAAATCTTCGAGACGGTGCGGCGGCTCTAGCTCGCTAGTAGTTTCCGATTTCGAAGAATTGTGCGATTCTTTTTGCGCATTAGATAATTCAATTTCTTTCTCTAACTAAGCGAGTTTAATTTTTTCTAACTGTAGTTTTGTTTGGTTATCTTTCTCTAACTGAGCTAATTTAGTTTTTTCTAACTCATAATTGTTTTTCTTTTCCTCAAGAATATTATCAATCAAACTCTGAACAAAATCACTATCGTTTTTATAAATCTCACTATTTACAATTAGCTTCTTTATATCAATAACTCTTGCCCCTTCTTGAACTTTTAAACTTAACTCGTCTGCGACGACTTTTAATTCGTCTTTTTTTAGTTTATTAAGGGACATTTTTTAAACACACTAAAATAATTCAATGTAAATAGACAAACTGAATAACTCAAAGTAAATTTTGCACAATGAATGAAACAAGGGAAATTGCTCTTACCTCAGAATTTCGGCTTCTTTTTTATTGTCACTCACTAAATATTTCACTCAAAGATAATATAAATTCCATTGTTAAATAACACGAGCATCGTACACACAGTTTCGTTTCGCTATTTACTGTAAATGATTTCCACAAATCACTAATTCGCCTCCGGTGAGACTGGACCACATATTTGTGATCACTCTAATCGATAGCTCAAAATGTATTTTTGGTAAATAACAACACTGGTTTGCACTGGACTGTAGAACACTTTATTTTTAAAGACTCACGGACTACGTCCGCCATTCATGAAGTTCTCAAGGTATAAAAAATTCTCTCTCAAAGGGGTGGCGCGGCAGTCGCACATGCGCGAACAGTATTAATTTTATCGCTCTTCACATTGGCAGAAGTATTCCGTTGATGTTTCACACTTCGAATATGGTTTTTAATATCACCCTTACCAGAGTGAGAAATGATAAAATCAACGACACTCCGAACGAAAGACATGTTTATCTTTTTTTCGTGACTTTAATATGAATGAAAATTCTTTGGAATATGCTTCTTTATAAGATTAACAGTATTTTTTTTCTTTTTTAGATTCATCCATAATGAAATAACCTCGATTAATTCACGAGTAGACTTTTCTATCGCGTGCGATCGCAAACAAAACAACTCTTAGCTCTGCCAGATTCCGAAACATCATTACCTTCATAATCTCAAACCAAAAAGGAGAAAAAAAGCCAACCACTCAAAAAAAGGGTAGGCTGAGCCGAATTTGAGATGAATTTTCAAATAGATTTGGAAGAAGAAGAATGGAAAAAAATTGCCCCGACGAATGTATTGAGAAGAGAAAAAACTAGAATTCGTAACTATACGGAATTACAAACAGGTTGGACAGACATAATTGCCCATAAAACCAGTGAAATAGCCAAACTGCCATGTGCATTTAGTTTCAAACATGCAAAAATTTCAAACAATGAAAATAAGGTTTGATTGAAAATTGAAGGTGTCTGTAACGAATGTGGTTGCTAACTTAAGGGTCATTGCTTGAATGAACCCAAACAAGATCGTGGAATTTCTATTCAAGTTTCAACGTCTGACACTAGAGGAATATTGCACATTCAGAAAAGACACTTAAGAGGTAACAGGCGCTCAGAAGTTGGCGAAAGTCTACTTCATAAAAAGGCATCAACCTGGCGAATGGAGGCTTCAAGAGGTATGCATTTTGGCGAACCTGTACCAAGCTATATTCCTCCGTTGAGCATGCTTCGTAAAGCTCGTGAAGAGGGTGTAAACAGGGATTTAAATATTAATAAGAATTTAGATTGTATTTCATCTTTTCTATATAAAAAATATGAGGGCGAATATGCAGGTTATATTCATAATATAAAGTTAGTTGACTTTTATTGCATTTATTTTTCTCCTTCTCAATTAATTTTATATAAAAATGCAATAAAATAAGGAAAACGTATAGTAATTGATGCAACAGGAGGAATCGCAAATCCCATTGTAAAATTGAATGGTAACTCTAAGCATATATTTTTATATCAAACTGTTCTCGTAGGAGAAGAACAAATATTACCAGTTTTTCAAATCATATCTACAAAACACTACATAAGTATACAGTACTGGCTTCAAGTTTTTGTTAAAAATAGGAAGCAAATTCCAAGAGAATGCGTGTCTGATTTCGCTTTGCTAAATGCAATAACTTTGAGTTTCAACAGCTGCCGTTTAGAAACATATGTGCAGCACTGTTTAAAAATGGTATTTGCTGAAGATTTGCCAAATAAATTATTTTGCTTTGTGCGTGTTGATATTGCAAATGTAATAGAAATACTTAACACGAAAAAAGTTTTTTATCGCAAGTTGAGCAAAATTAAAAATTTTTACGTAAGATCATTAGGAATTCTTTCTATGTGTAACAAAATTAAAGATTTCAAAAAACTGTTAATTGCACTTTTTACAGTTGCACTAAGCGAATGCTGTGGTAAAGATGACAACGGAAAAGATATAGAATGTCGAAGAAAAATTAACCTGTTAATTGATAGAATAAAAACATTTGAAATTAGTTTGGATCATGTTTCCTTCGATAATGATGAAGAAAGTGGAGATGATGGAGTAGGCACAAGAAGTTATACAGGGTGTCTTGGGATATTAATCCAATTTTAGATGCACCTGGATTTCAGCCCCCGCCCCTCTAAAAAGCTGCAGCTATGATGGAGGAGATACTGATATAGGGAGTTAAAGAGGAGTGGTGCACTTAGGGTTGCACACCCCTTTGTTTTGGCTTATGAAAGGGACACCCCTTCGGGTTGGCTTCCGTAGGGGTGACGCGCCAACAAT